TTGCATATGATTTCTTAACCTGGGTGGTAGTGACGAGATCATTATGTATTTTTTAAAATTAATTTGCTATGTGTATGTGTGCCTTCGGGAATTTATGTGTACCGTGTGTGCAGGTACCTGTAGGAGGCCACAGGTGGGTAGGATCCCCTGGAACTACAGTTACAGGAGCTTGTGAAACACTGATGTGGGGGCTGAGAACCAGATTCGGGTCTCTGCAAGAGCAGAGTGCTCTTAACCACGGAGCCTTCTCTCCAGACCCCAGAGTGCTCTTAAGCACCGAGCCATCTCTCCAGACCCCAGAGTGCTCTTAACCACCGAGCCATCTCTCCAGACCCCAGAGTGCTCTTAACCACTGAGCCATCTCTCCAGACCCCAGAGTGCTCTTAACCACCGAGCCATCTCTCCAGACCCCAGACTGATCATTTTAAGTCGTTACGTGGTATCTTCATGTTTTATGCATCTTTCTCTGTGTTATTTCTTATGACAAAAATTAAATAGTATATGAAACTGGCATAAAAATTAAAAATTACACTATAAATATTATAGAAAAAGAACTTAGAAACCACACTTGCCTACAAATTATAATTTAATATGCAGTATATGTTACAGCATAATTTAATAGCAGAATACGTTGGTTAGAAATAACTTTGGGAAGGTGTTTTACTAGAGGGAAAAGTAAATTGGATCTCTCTGAGAGCATACAAAGAAAGCTCTAAAACAGTGGTTCTCAACCTGCCCAATGCTGTGACCCTTTAATCAGTTCCTCATGCTGTGGTGACCACGCCCCCCGCCATTAAATCATTTCATTGCTATTTTTTAGCTGTAATTTTGCTACTGTTGTAAATTGTTATGTAAATATCTGGTACGCAGGACAACCTAACAAGGTGACGACCCACAGGTTGAGAACCCCTGCTCTAGAGAGAAAAGACTCAAGGTGAAAGTAATAAGGTAATGGTAGGTATTGTGGCTTAATGTCTTCTCTGGCATATGGGACATGGATGCATTTCTAAAGAAAGTCCACACATCCCAGAGTATTCGGGCAGCACAAATTGGGTCTTGTTGGGCTTTTTTTCCTAAGGAACACAAAGTTGGGTGGGTAGGAAAGCAATAGGGGAAGAGTTGGGGTGGATATGTTCAAAATGCAGATGCAATTCTTAAAAAAATAATAAAATTATTTTAGGTAAGTAGGGAATGGAGTTACCATCAGCATCAGTGAAGAGGGATGCTGTAAGCTGAAGACTGTATGTAACTTGATCCTGCACCCAAAAGAAGAAAAAAGCTAAGGGAACAAAGTTCTGCCATAGGTTTTTCTCTCTATAGCAACTGCTGCTATTGTGTGTGTTGCACATTTCCTAGAAAATCGTGGATTTTGTTTGCATGAACATGTAGTATTTATTTTGGTCACATTGTCTATACATTATTCTCTTTGATTCATAATATACTTTGGATATCTCCCTTTCCACAAACCTACCCTTCCTTTAAGCAGATACTGTATTTTTATTTACTCCAATTAAGTTTTGCTACCAATAAATCTTTGTTTGCTTTTCAAGGTGCTTGCTAGCTAACAATGTGCTTCTTAAGTTGTTTACTATTGAGGCTGGAGAGAAGCCTCAGTGATTAAGAGCACTAACAGCTCTTCCAGAGGACCAGAGTTCAGTTCCCAGCACCCTGTCAAGATGCTCACAACTGCCTCCAACTCCAGCTGATATGCTCTTCTGGTCTCTGCAGACACCTGCATGAACACACATACATAAATAAAAGTAAAATAAGTCTTCACAAAGTTTGCTAGTAAGCAATGTCTCTGTCAATATTCTTGCACATACACTTATGGGAAATACTAGCATTATTCACGAATTCTAAGTAGTAAAATTTCTAAGTCAAAAATATCAGAACATGATTCTATTTGTTTGAATATGTGATGGAGATTGCCCAGTCACCAAGAGTTATTTCCCATGCTTTTGTAAGCATTGGTTGTGATATAGCATTCCTGTTTTTTTTTCAGGCAATATAAAGTTGAAAGCTGATGTTTTTAAATATTTCTACCATTTTGCACTCTTCCTGTGAACTGTGTGCTCTGATACCTTGTCTGTTTTCTCTGAGTTGGTTTTTATTTCCTTGTTCATTTGCATGGGTTTTTATTTTGCAAATCAAGGCAATTAGCCATTCTATCCTATGTTCTGCAGTTACACTTTCACAGTCTGTCTTGTCTTTTGCCAAACAGAAGTTTTAAATTTTTACACAGTCAAATTTATCAATCTGTTCCTTTGTCACTCCTGGGGAACAGATACTTTAAATTTTATTTTGTGGCTTGAAAGTTTAAGTGATTTTCTTCAAGGAGTGACTGGAATGACTGAGGTTGAGGGTGGGGGAGTAGTTGAGGCAACAGCTACTCCAAGCAGAACAAAGAATTTTTTAATTATTTATTTTTAAGATTATAATATAATTGCATCAATTTCCCCTTCCCTTTCCAAATTGCAAACCCTCCCATAAACCCCTCCTTGCTCTCTTTCAAGTTCATGATCCCTTTTTTATTAGTTATTGTTACATACACTTATGTATGTATAGACACATATATATTCCTAAATACAATCTACATAGTGTCATGTGTGTGTGTGTTTTCTAGGATGACCATTTGGTATTGGATAACTGATTGGTGTGCTCTTCCCCAGGGAAGATGTTTCTCCTGCTCTCAGCATCTCATGGTTGCCTGCAGTTCTTCATGGGTTCTCCTGTCCACTTTGCCATGTCTATTGGTGTTGTTCTTGTTCAACTCCTGCTTAGGCAGTCATGTTGGAGGGATTTCATCTTTGCTGCATTCTAAGAACTTATTTTTCTTCTTCATATTTTTTATTTAACTTTTTACACGTCACTCTCAGTTCCCTCTCTCTTCCCTCCTCCCCCACCCCCCAACCCCCTCCAGCCCCTCACCCCCATTCCATCCCCCCTCCGCTTCCCAGGGAGATCAAGGGCTTCCATGAGGGATTTTCAGAGTCTGTCACATCAGCCCGGGAAGGGACTGGGTTCTTCCCCATGTGTCCAGGCTGAGAGAATATCCCTCCACATGGTATGGGTTTCCAGAATTCCTCTGTATGCCAGGAATAAATACTGCTCCACTCTCCAAGGTCCCACAGATTGCCAAGGCCTCCTCTCTGTCACCCAGGTTAGGTGGGAGGATGTCTTGATCAGTCCCATGCTGGCTCCTCAGTCATCAGTCTGGGGTCCATGTGTTACCCCTTGTTTAGAACTTATTCTTATATACACAGGTAAGTACAGTCTTCACCCTACATCAAGGAAACGTCTCTTTGCAACAATAGAAACTATCACAGAAAACTACAGTCAACCGAAATACAGAGTGTGGAATCCAGTCCCAGGGATATATCTACCCACAACTGCACCTAAAGCTCAAGGAACATGGCAGAAGACGGGGCAGAAAACTTGCAAGAGCCAAAGGACTAGGGAGTTTGCTGTGAGGCCATATCTCCTAGAATATCAGAACAAAACATTTAAATGAAGAGATGGCAGGGGTGATGGTCACAGCAGCTCAGAGGAGGCCAGTTTCCAGCCTATCAGCATTGAGCAGGGACTGTCCAGCTGTACCAGTGAGAAGTGCTCCTAAAATCTGAGGCAACCGGCCTGGTTCCCTTCTGGAATGTTAGAGAAGGTGAGTGGATGTTGTGATTACCTGGACGTCTGAGGCTGTTCAGCATAGAATGTATTTGATTATTACACTGGTAAAATTCAGCATACTTGGAATATGAATCCTATATTTTGTTTTTCTTCATGAGGTTCCAAGAGAGATTTATATTGGAAGAAATTTTCTTTCTAATTCTTAGTCTAATTAAGGTACTATCAGTTTGGGGGGGAACCTCATGGTAAAACTGATCTTTTCCAAACAAAACAAAACAAAACAAAACAAAATCAAAAACTGGTATTTTCTACTGTTCTCTATTTTTTATTTCTTTCTGCCCTAATTATTTTGATTTACTTTCTTCTGTTAACTGTGGGCTTAGCTTGCTCTTTCCTGGTTCCTTGGGGTGTAAGTTGCTTTTGTGACATCTTTTCTTTCTTATCACAAAAGCATTTGTAGCTACAAAATTCCTCTCATATTCTGTTGTATTCTACAAGTTTAGCTATCTTTTTTTCCGCTTCTGTTTAGCTCAAGATATTTTTAGATTTCTATTTAATTTCTTCTTTGATTCATTTGTTGTTCAGGAGTGTGTCATTTAACTTTCATGTATTTGTGACTTTCCCAATGTTGGGATAATCTAAAAGAAATAAGTTTCTAGAATCATACAAGTTATTCTTAATGAATTATGAATAAACAGAAAACCTGATCAGACCAATAATGTATAATATAAATGAACTGAAGTCAACACTTCCCCCCCCAAAAAACGAAAGTCCAGAAGCAGTTGACTACAAAAGTGAATTCTAACAAGTATTTAAATGACGTCTGAGTTGGAAGTGATGACACATCCTGCTATGGTGATTTGAATAGGTATGGTCCCCTTGGACTCATGTGTTTGAATGCCTGGCCTATGGGAAGTGTCACTTTTAGAAGGTGTGGCCTTGTTGGAGGAAGTGTGTTGGGGAAGACTTTGAGATCTCATATGCTCAAGCTATACCCAGTGTGGTACATAGTTCACTTCCTGTTGCCTATGGATCAAGATGTAGAACTCCCGGCTCCTTCTCCAGCACCAGGTCTGCCTGCATGCTGCCATTTCCCACCATGATGATAATGGACCAAACCTCTGAAACTGTAAGCCACCCCCAATTAAATGTTTTCCTTTATAAGAGTTGCTGTGGTCATGGTGTCTCTTCACAGTGATGGAAATACTAACTAAGACACCTGCATATAATCTCAGCACTTGGAAAGTGGAGGCAGTAAGACCAAAAGTTTAAGGTCATCCTTACCTACATGAGACCCTGTTTAAAAAAAAAACTATTTTTTTAAGGAAAGCCGGGAGTTAGGCCACCTCTCTCTTTCTTAGGCTGCCAGGAAGATGGCGGACATTGAGCCCAAACGTGCTTACCAAAAGCAGCCTACAACCTTTCAAAACAAGAAGCGTGTTCTGATGGGAGAAACTGGCAAGGAAAAAGTCCCTCGGTACTACAAAAACATCGGTCTAGGCATCAAGACACTCAAGGAGGGCACTGAGGGCACCTACATAGACAAGAAATGCCTCTTCACTGGTAAATTCTCCATCAGAGGTCAGATCCTATCTGGTGTTGTGACCAAGATGAAGATGCAGAGGACCACTGTTATCCATCAGGACTATCTCCATTACATCCGAAAGTACAATCACTTCGAGAAGCACCACAAGAACATGTCTGTGCACCTGTCCCCCTTCAGGGATGTACAGATTGGCGACATCGTCATGGTGGGAGAGTGCAGGCCCCTGAGCAAGACTGTGCACTTCAATGTACTCAAGATCACTAATGCTGCTGGCACCAAGCAGCAGTTTCAGAAGTTCTGAGAGGACTCTAGCAAACTCCCTGGGACAAATAAAACCATTGTCTGGTTGAAAAAAAAACTCTTTTTTATTTAGGAAGAATAATTAATACCAATCCTTGACATTGGGGAATGCACTGGTACACTGGTAGCTTTTTTTTTCTTCTGTAAGCAAAAACAAAATTAGTGGAACTATATCAAACTAAAAAGTTGCTACTAGATAGCAAAGAAAAAGTCAACAAGATGGAAATACAACTTTTGAGCTTGTTAATCAACTCATATAGAGAAAAGCTTCAGCTCACAGTTTTGAAGGTTTACTTCATGGTCTGTTGTTCTCTTTAATTTGAGTTTATCATGCCAGAATAAAGAAGAGCAAAATAAACCACTTCACAGCTGGGAAACTAAAAACAGAGAAAGGGGCAGGGCCCCAGTGCTCTACTTATGAATATGTCTCCAGTGACCAAATACCCCTACTTAGCCCCATGTCCTACAGGATTCACAATCTCCCAAAGACAGCATTCTGGAGGATAAACCAATACATGGCTACTGGGAATGTTCCATCCAAACTTCAGTAGCAAATCACCAGAAAGGAGAGAGTATTTTGCAAACCACACATCCAATAAGAGTTTAATGTCCAAAGGAATTCATTTAACTTAAAAGATTGTTAATCTGGTCAAAAAGGAGGAAATCTTGGTAATGTTTTCCCCGAAGAAGTCACACAGTAAGGTAATAAATAGTTCTTCATGGAATCACATGAAGACACTGCCCGTTTAAGGGCTTATATTACATTGAAAATGTGTTATCTCTTAAGGAATCATTCAAAGAACTCACACAAAGTACACTACACATGTGAACTCACCCCTACATTTATGTCAGTTCTCACTTTTTCTCTGCTTTAAAATGTAGTCATGATATCATCATAATATTCTGTGCACAGAAAGGTCTAGGTCAGTCTAGACTACAGGAAATGCTGCATGAAAAAGAAAAAAAGTATACTGTACTAACTTCTCACCACTGTGAAAAAGTACATTTGAGGCAGAGCTACACAGGCAAAAGACTAGTCAGCTGTAGTGACCACTAGGCAAGAAAGTTACCCCTGTTGTCAACCTAAGTCTGCTGGATGAGGTAAGACACGGCCAACTCCATCAGAACTTTGGGAACTCTGGGTTAAAAGCTTGAAAGGACTGTGATGACCATGTCTTGTGTAGTGTTCAGCCTTGTCTCTAGAACTTTCAGTTGTGCCCTTGGATAGCTGTATCAAACAGAAAAAAGAAAACTAAGGTGATGTAGCAAAAAATATAATTAAGGTAACGAGGAGGAAAACTTTGCAGTGGCTGTATGTGAAAGCCCTTCCCCTAAGAATCTGACCATAGCTATAAGTTTTGTCCCCTTTATTGGCAGATAGAACAGCTCTTGTTGACACTCAACTCATACGACATATGTCTAGCTTTAGTGTTTTGCAATGATGAAATATTTACACTCCATTCATTTCAAGGACCCACATGGGCACATCAAAAACATCTACATATTCTTGCCAATCCCAACTGTCTTCTAATCCTAGAGGGGAATTCCTTTGGTGGACTTCAACATGCCCTATTTTAATGCGCCCTTAAATTTTCATAATGATTTCTAAAAGGTCTTTTCACTATTTAGGCACCCCACAATGTACCTACAGTCTACTGCACACCGTGCTCAATATATACTCAGGTCATTGGTCATGGTCCATGAATCAGACAAAACCAAACCAAGGGTCCTGGTTAGTTTTTATTGTAACAACTTAGAGGGAACTTCAATTGAAGAATTACCCCCCATCAGATTGGCCTATGGACATGTCTGTGTGGAGTGGTGATGATCACTCATCAATATGGGTGAACCCAGCACATTCTAGAAAGTACCAGAGCTATATAAAAAAGCTAATTGAGCATAACCAATTGTTGAGCCGCTAAGCAGCACTCCTCCCTGGTTTCTGCTTCAGTTCCTGTTTGGGTTGCTGCCCTAAATTCTCTTAAGGAAGAGATTGTGATCTGTGTGTGAGCCAAACAAGCCCCTTCCTCCCCTACACTGCTTTTGATCTGATTGTTTTATCACAACATCACCAAGGGGCTTTCGTTGTAGTTCAGCTATCCCATCATTGGAAGAAAAACAGCATCCAACCCAGACCACTAAGATGACCACTGAGCTTTTTTGATTGGAGCCTTTCTATTTGCTAGACAAGATGCTGCCCATCTACTTTGAAATGCTACCCATAAACCATGCAGCTTTTTATTAAGAAGGCCATGTGCAGGTGGCAATGGGATCCTTTAGTTTCTCAAGTGACCCCAACTAGAAGAAAGAAGTTATTTGCTTGTGGATACAATGTACCTCTTTACATTCATTCAATAACAAGTCCCTGAGCAAATATTTTTATTTTATTTCTGTACTCTACTGGGTACTACCTTCTGTAGGAGGAAGTCTATGCCGCCATTAAACATGTGACTTACTAAGTCTATGCCGCCATTAAACATGTGACTTACTAGAGGCACATACAGATGAGGTAATAAAAGGGCGGTTTACTACACCGCTAACCACACCCACTTTAGGCAGGACTAAAGACATATACGGCTGGACGTAAAGACGTATACATACGTAGGCGGAACTACGTCACTAGCCAGGCCCACTTTTGGGCATGGCTAGGGGGCGTTACGGGGGAAGGCATAAAAGACAGCGCACAGGAAGTCTCGCTCTCTTTTCCTGGAGATCGGCTTCCGGGTCAGCCACTGAAAACTGCTCCTCTGGGTTTGGTATCTTGTGAGTAATTTTCTACATAAAATACTTAGCGTTGCTTTCAGTCATTGTGTGTCTCGTATCGTTACAGCGTCCGTAAAGCCAACACCTTCTTTATTGGAGTGTTTCTCCAAAATAACACCAGACAGAGTATTTCAGGTTGCAGGAGATTCTATATCCTTCGGTGACAGAGACTACCACCATCAATGACTAATAGTACGTGTTAGGTCCCAAAGGAACTCAGGACAAATGGCTAACTGAGGTGCCTACTAAAATAACAAAGTGGACACTGGTCAGGCTTTCTCAGGATCCTAGTTCCTATTACAGAGTCCTGGTTTTTCAGAATTTTTCATCCCTCTCCCAGTACCCTATACCTCTCCAGGCCTTGAGCTTCTAATTCCTATATAACTCGGTCGTTTTGGCCATGCAGACTCTTGGTTCTTCTCCCTCTCCTTGTCCCTTTTTCTTCTCTTCCTCTGTCACCCCTCCCTCTTTGCGGCCCAATCTAGTCTGATGGCCATGTTCAATCCAGTCTTTCTCTCCCTGCTCTGAACTCTTTCAGAGGCCTCTGGCTATACTCTCCCTGGTCTCTACAATAAAAATCTTCTCCTCAGCCATACTTAGAAGCAGTCATGTCCTTATTTTCATGCAGCAAGCTAGCAGATGACTCTCAAGTGCTGTGTCTTACCATATCATCCCAGAATTTTCTGATACAAAATCCACCAGTCACCTCTGGGTGGCACCCGTAAGCTTTGGCAATAATCTCTAGTCTACTTACCTAAGACTTACAGACTTCCCAAATCATGCATGAGTATCGTTCAAATGGTCCCAAAGAATCAAGAGAGATTTCTTTTTTTCCTGAGCCTAACACGTCCTGATCTTTTTGGACCCATTCAAATATACTCTTATTTGAAGGTAGTTTTATAGATAAGTGCTAGTGACATTTCCTATACAAAACAGGCATCCTTTAAAGTTCAGACAGACCAGTCAAGCATTTTTTTGTTTAGAATGAGAATATCAATAGCTTCAGTTGCCTGTGTAATGTTATGGGTGGCTCTTAGCCAAGCTATCCTACTATTTGGCTCTGCCTCTGGAATCGTCCTAGGTTTATCAACCACTCTCTATTGGTCATCTGTGATGCTCCTACATTTAGGTCAAATCTCAGTTGTTCTCTGTTTTAAGATATTATCATGATGCCAATATTATAGTATTCTGTATACAGTAAGTTCAAGGTTAACCTAGACTACATGAAATTCTGTCTTTTAAAAAAACGTACTGTGTTAGCTTCTTAATGTGAGAAAAAATACCTGAGAAAACCAACTTAGAGGAGGAAGGATTTGTTTTGGTTCACAGTTTCAGAGATTTCAGCCCATGGTGGCTCAGCCCCATCACCATGGGGTGTGTGATGACATGAAACTTTGACACAGAATACTTAATTGATCACTTCACTGTGGCCTGGGGAGGAGGAAATGGATATGAGTCAGGGGACAAAACATACCCTTTAAAGTCACACCCCAGTCACTTGCCTCCTCAAACGAGGTCCCACATCCTCATAGCCCATTCAACTACAGTGCCCCTCATAATAGCCTAACAGTAGTATACAACCTGAAGACCAAGCCTCCAACACCTGAGTCTTCTGGGGCCAGGGAAGGCCCCTCACAGCCAAGTATTAATGCACACAGTTGCGCTAGAACCACAGCCAAGCACTGATGCATACCGTTACACTAAGAACTTAAATAACCCTCAGTCTCCTCTGATCATGTTATGACAGCAGCCGGTGAACTCAAACAATGCTACACAGTAAATGTAAATTGGGATTCCTCCCACATGAACACAAGCTGCAGCTAGCTGCTTTCTAAGATCAAGGTAGGAAAAACTAATGCTGGATCAATCAGGACAGCACTGTCGTTTCCCCTGCCACACTCTGCACTGTTGAACATATCAGGACTATGCTGCTATGGCTGTCACTGCTTTCTTCAAGCCCCAGTTCTCTGTCTCTCTGCCTAAGCTCTCTCTTTATTCACAGGTCATTGGGACTGGACTCTTTACAAAGAATTATTGACATCAGCACTTCTGCTTCTAACACGTCATTGATTTCTCCTTGTGCACTGGATATCCTATACTGTTTCAAATTAAGTAGTGTGGACTTGAGTAGAGCCCTTTAGTATAGCCAAGCAACACCGGCCTGGCTCCAATACATTTAGTTTTACAGTACTCAGGGGGAAAACGTGCTCCTCACTCATAACAATACCCACTCTGATA